AGTAAAGGAGTAGAATGCCAGAATGCCTACTGCCTCAGACTCGATGACCGCGAGAAAACAATTATTAATAACTTCTTCTACATTTTTGCCCGGATCTGTACAAAATTTGAGAGAAGTTATGTTTGGTCATCCAAACACCTCAATCTATGCTCAAATTTAAGTTTGTCAGACGAGCACCGCTGCCTCAGCCATGTGTTGGAGTGACCCAGAATACGCTAAATTCAAGTCCGAAAAGAAGCTTATCGTTGCGGAGAATAGGACTTAATTTTATATCTAAATTTTTGGAGCACTTTCTGAAAGAGAAGTTTTGGGGTGGTATGAACAATTCAAGGTGTAAGGATGTCTGTCAGAAGGCTATTAATTAAAGAAGAGAGTAAACATTTTCGGAACTGCGAAATGTGGAAAGCAGTTCGTGCATCGGTCGCGACAATGCGAAAGAAGTCTGTTCGAGGATGTAGCAATGAAATAGGCTCGACAAAGTCCATAACTTAAAAAACATAAAAGCATGATTTGAAATTGAAGTTGTGTATCCCATTTTTATTCAGCAAGGAATAACAACAGGAAATGCTTTGGAGAGAAAACCAATGAGTGCACGGGTTTTGAAGACACGTGAGACTGAGAGAATGTTCAACGCTCTGTTCGCTTTATTGACGAGGCTCATTTCTACGCGACTAGAAAGTTAATTCTGAGAATTGTGCGTTGTGGGAAACTGAATGACCTGGTGATATGAATGAAAGGAATTCAAAACTCGAGACAAGGACCTTGTAAGAGTTACCACGTCGCAAAGTGTCAGAACACAGAAATGCATTTCACGCGATTGGGGCCTTGAGGAGCATCTTTTTTTTTAAAGCTAAGAGTTCTAGTGCACACGCCTTTATCATGCAATGAATTGTGTAACTGTCTGTCCGGATCGTTCCTTTATGTTTATACCCAAAGACTTTGCAGTATTTAAAGCGATTTTTTTTATTATAGTTAACGTTTTTTGGTGGTCACCGAGTCTGGGACGTCCTGTATATTCATAAAATCAACAACTCAATTTTAAATGTAAACTCCGTTATGCCGAATGGCAGTCTTTTGAGAATGAGTCACATGTGGCACTTATAGAACAGCTTTCGTTTCCTTCAATTTGTATACATGTTGCTCTCTCCTTCTTTTTGTCTGTTGTGTTTTCATTTTCCTTTCAGAAAAGTCAATAAGAAAGCAGAAAGAGAGAGAGAGAGAGAGAGAGAG